GGTCTGGCGTGTGCCATAAAGCCCTTGGCCTGATTGCAGCGTGCGCTTATTGTTGGGTCGCGTGTCCCTCATTAAAGCCAAGCACAGAGAAGGCCTTTCATGTGGCTTTTTATTTCAGCTTGTTAAATGGATGGGAGGCCGGAGTGGGGGAGGGAAGGAGGGAGGGAGGGAGAGAGAGATAAACCCTCAGCTGTATGGTAATGAGGTCTTGCCACCTTTCTGCCAGCGCCCGGCGCGCCAGGCTGCGGGCCTCCGCGGCGTGGGTCACCTGGGGAGCAACGCGAGGCGCAGAGCGCTGCCGGTCCCCTTCCGCCCCTCTGCTCTCCCAAAGGGTCTGTTCCAGCGGCGTCACCTCCCCACTCCGAGTTCTTTGAGGGGGGATAAGGAAAACCGGGGCTCTGGATCGTTTGGAGGCGAGGCAGCATGGGGAGGGCACGCTCCAGCCGAACTTCCCAAGCCGTCGCGCTCCCTCGTACGTTCAGAGCGGCTCTGCTCTCCCTGGAGACCCGCTCTGGCCCAGGATGTGGTCAGGGTCCAAACGCCCGAGATGGCACCGGGAGGGCCGGGGGGCGGGGGTGGGGAACACGACACGGCTTCGCAGAGAAAGCGTGGGGGAAAGCCCGGGCACAGCCGCAGTGGATTGGTTTGGGCAGAGGCGCAGGCTTGAAATCGGGGTCGCCACCAAAAGAGGATTAAAACTTCTCCCGGTCCCCACCGCGCCTGTGAAAGCCGAAGCCGGGAGGCACAGACTCTGGCAATGTCGGGGTACTGCAGCCGGGGCCGGGCACCTTTGGTTGGGCTCTGTCCCGCTGTCACCTGGGGTACGTGTTTGTGCGGACGGGAGCCGTGTCCGTGGTGGAGATAAACCATGAGGCACAGAGGCACAGGCCAAGAGCTCTTTTGTCTCGGCCTAGTAAACAAGTGGGAAGGAGGAATGTGTCGCCGCTGATGAACTCGGAATTTTGCAGCGATCCACCCGGCCAGATCCCGGCTTTACCAGCAGCAGCGTCAACTGTCAAAATCAAATCTGATGCTAATAGCTTCGGTACTAAATAAAATGAGAGGCCAGATAACATCAGTGCTTGATAAATGGTAATGAGTGTCTAACCTAGGGGAACAGAAGGGCTGTGGGGCTCTTTAATTCAGTATTGAAAGGCTAGCTGGGTACTGCAGGCTCTAGCAGATGTTAGTATGTGTGTGTTTTGATTTTTGACTTGTATTGGACGTTTATTAGGCTAACCAGAGCCACCCCACGCATGGCCACTTGGTCCAGGCACCATCTGGCACAAGCAGGGCGGCGTGCAAGAATAGGGCCTTGCTTTGGTGCTGAGGATCCACAGGCAGCATCTACCATATGGACCCGGAGCTAATGTAGGTTAAAGCAAGACAAGCTCATCTCTGCTTTTCACAGCTCCACCAAACCTCTCTGCCATCCTGGTGGAGTGCACCTTGGCGGCTGGAGAAGAGCTGCCACCTCTCCTTGCCCCAGCTCTGGCAAAAGGGGAGCAAGCCCCCAAGCACTCCTCAACCTGCTCAACTGCTCTTGGGTGGCCACTGGTTTTTGAGTGAAGCTTTGCGCCTAGCTCTGCTTGATCCCGGTGGGAGCACAAGTCGCTCCAGCTCCCCACGTGTCGTCCCCCCTAAAACCAAATATTTTCAGGAGATCAAGTGGGTGGTGCAAAACAGACGCAAAATCCTCCTTGAAACTCCAGACCATTATTTTGATTGCAGCTATAAAAAGAGTTCGTAATAAAATAATAACAGGGCAATATAATAAACCACCTGCTGCATGTTGACACACACGCACAGGGAGTTCAGATTAAAAAAAAAAAAAAAAGTTTCACTAATAGCATCAAACAGCTGAGCCTGAAAGTCGGCCGAGAGCAGATTAGAAGCATAACTCCTGCAAACTCTTTCCTGTGCCCAACACGCCATCCTGGGTCACTTGGAGAGTAACAGCCCAGCCACCTCCCCATAGATCCTCGGCTCAGTTCGAGGGGTGCCTGTCCTCGGGAAGGGGGGAAAGCCCGCAGAACCCCCGGCTTTGCCAAGGGCGGTGCCCGCGGCCCCTGTCGGGATGCTGGGCACCGACCGGACCGGACATACCCGGTGGTCGCTGCTCACCGTCCATTCCACCCTGCTCCCTCTCTCTCCAGCTCACTTACTCGAGGTCAGGGCGCTTTCTTCTCCTCTTTCGCGCCCCATTTGCTGCCGGTTTATCTCCAGGCTGGCCCGGCTCAGCATACGCGTGGCCGGGCCAAACGCATCTCGCTAACGAGACAACGTTAATTAATTCCGGGCGGGTGAAAGTTGCCAGCCTGCCCAAGCCATCCCTCCCCCCGCGCCCTCGTGCCAGGCTGCCCTCCTCCGCTCCCGGGGGANACCGGCCCGGCCCTGCCCTGCCCTGCCCTGCCCCGCATTTGCACTCTCCCCTCGGCTACACACTTCCCTCCTTCCCTTGCTCCCACAGACCACGGATACACATCCCCACCTTCAAGCCTCTCAGCCCCTTGCTTTATTTTTCTTAATAACATTAGTCATCCCAAGTGCTTCTGATCTGGATGAGCTTTTTTTTTTTTTTTTTTTTTTGGAAGTTCTGGAAATAAATCTAAAAGCAAAAGTAGTTTGTTTCCATTACAGGCAATCAGCCCACCGCGGCTAGCCTGCCCTTGCCACCCTCCTGCCCACCATCAAAATCGGGTTCAAAGTAGAATCTCACCGGCCACGTGAAGTTAAAGGGCAGCTTAATGGGGCTGTCAAATCTCTCAGTATCCTTGATGCTGAAGGAGTTTATTCCCAAAACCGGGGTGATGATGCTGCCGAAAGTGCAGGAGCCCGGGGAAACCACTGCCTGAAAATGCTTCAAACAAACGCGAAAGAAGGTCCTGCAGTGGGGGGTGCAGGGCTCCCCGCTGGCCAGAGACGCGTGGCTATTCACGAATTCGTGTAGCTCCAGCTGGAAGACGCCGGAGCCGGACACCCTCTGCACAAAGGGGAGACACACAAAATAGCCAAATCAGACCTTACCCGGCTTTGCCATGCAAACTTGCTTCCATCACCCGCTTTACACTTCGCGAACCCTTTTTATTTTTCTGCCTGTGCGATTACCTGCTGCAAAATCGTTAACAGAAACGTCAAGCCAAAGATGCGCAAGGCTGTCATCCTTGTGTTATTCGAGCTTCCAGTTCTTAGTGGGTTTAGTTTTCCTTCTGTATTCCTCAAATGGACCAAGCAAGGGCTTCTCAGTCGAGGGAGAAAAGAGAGGCGTCACGGCGATTCTCCGGGAGCAACCTGCTCTTCCAAATATTCCCCGAGCAGCAGCAGAAATCGGAAGGTAAAATCCAGGTGTCGATCCGTCCCCCTTCAGGGAATTAATCCTGCAGCCAGCCGCCGACCTCTGATCGCTGTCGTCGCCTTTATAAACTCCAAAGCCGGGTGGGTTTGGTGAGAGACGCGGAGGGGAGTGCTTAGTGTGGAACCGCTCCTCCTTTAACCGGTGCTAACAGCGCTCAGTAAATGGAAAACTTGCTTCGCTTCGAGCTGTTTATATAGTTGCCTCGCATCCTCACAAGCTCATTATGTAAACTGTCAGTCAGACTCACGGGCGATCCCTCCCCTTTTCCATCTTTCCTTTCTGGAAAAAAGAACCAAATGTTGCGGAGAGCCCTCATATCCCGAATTAATACCCTGCTGCCGCCGCCGCCGCCGCCGCTGCTGCCGCGCTGCCCGCCGAGGAGCCGAGCTGATTACGAACGAGCCGAGCATCTGTTGAGATATTTACGGCGCTCACACTGGGAGAGAGAGTTCCCTCGAAAATCAGACGCCTCTCCACAGGGCAGCTTTCTACGGCGGCCGAACAATAGAGGATGAAATGTTTCAAAAATACGCTTGTTAGTTAGTTAGTTTGTTCGTTCCCCGTTGCCCTCCACCCCACGGCTC